TTCAGGCTGGGTTCCCCTTCAGGGGATTAGGGTACCTGAAGTTCCTTAAGATTCCCAGCCTGATGGGCTGAATTGCCCAGGTGATTTTGTCCACCTGTTAAGCCCTTGTCCCTTTAAGACTTTTAAAAAGCACCTGCTTTTCTTTTTTCACAGGGGAGCCGGCTGTGCGGACCTGCTCTCCGTCTCCATCTCAGATTTTACTTTTCCATTTCTCTAATACTCAGTACATCATCAAATGTGTGTCTTTGGTCCCAGTGCAGACTACTAGGGCTGGTTATTTAGCAGTCCTGTGCTTCCACTCCCACCCCACTCTGATTCTTTTCCTCCCCCCAGTGAGCTGCAGTGGGGGGAGTGCTTGGGTCCTGCCGGGTCACGACTTTGTATCTTACCCTTTCCATGAGATGCTGAGTTCTTGCAGATGTAGATGTAGCCTGGCTATTGTACTGTATCTCCTCTTCTCTCTTATAGGAATAGTTGTATTTGTTGTATTTTCAAAAACATATATGGTTTTGGGAGGGAATTTCCACTGCACTACTCACACCGCCATCTTGAGCCCCTCCTTCCACTGCTCAATTTTATCAGACATTTAGAGAAGACATAATACCCATTCTCCTTAACGTTTTCCAAAAAACAGAAGAGGAGGGAATACTTCCAAACTCATTCTATGAGGCCAGCATCACTCTAATACCAAAACCAGGGAAAGACACCACAAAAAAGAAAATTACAGACTAATATCCCTGATGAACATAGATGCAAAAATATTTAACAAAGTATTAGCAAATCGAATTCAAAAATACATCAAGACAATCATACACCATGATCAAGCGGGATTAATTTCAGGGATGCAAGGATGGTACGACATTTGAAAATCCATCAATATCATCCACCACATAAATAAAAAGAAGGACAAAATCACATGATCATCTCCATAGATGCTGAAAAATGATTTGAGAAAATTCAACATCCATTCATGATAAAAACTCTCAACAAAATGGGTATAGAGGGCAAGTACCTCAACATAATAAAGGCCATATATGACAAACCCACAGCTAACATCATATTTAACAGTGAGAAGCTGAAAGCTTTTCACCTAAGATAGGGAAGAAGACAGGGATGCCCACTCTCCCCACTTTCATTCAACATAGTACTGGAGGTCCTAGTTATGGCAATCAGACAAAACAAAGAAATAAAAGGCATCCAGATTGTCAAGGAAGAAGTCAAACTGTCCCTGTTTGCAGATGACATGATATTGTACATAAAAAAGCCTAAAGCCTCTACCCCAAAAGTACTAAAACTAATATCTGAATTCAGCAAACTTGCAGGATATAAAATGAATACACACAAACCTGTTGCATTCCTATACAATAACGATGAACTAGCAGAAAGAGAAATCAGGAGAACAATTCCATTCACAATTGCATCAAAAAGAGTAGAATCCATAGGAATAAACCTAACCTATGGAAGTGAAAGACCTATACCCTGAACTACATGATATTCTTAAGAGAAATTCAAGAAGACATTAACAAATGGAAATTCATCTCATGTTCTTAGCTAGGAATAATAAAAATTGTCAAAATGGTGATCCTGCCTTAGGCAATCTACAGATTCGATGAAATCCCTATCAATATACCAACAGCATTCTTCAATGAACTGGAAAAAATAGTTCTAAAATTCATATGGAACAACAAAAGACCCCAAATAGCCAAATCAATCCTGAGAAGGAAGAATAAAGCAGGGGGGTTATCACTTCCCAACTTCAAGCTCTACTACAAAGCCACAGTTAGCAAGACAACTTGGTACTGGCACAAGAACAGACCCAGAAACCAGTTGAACAGAATAGAGAGTCCACATTTTAACCCAAACATATATGGTCAATTAATATATGATAAAGGAGCCATGGATATACAATGGGGAAATGACATCCCCTTCAACAGCTGGTGTTGGCAAAATTGGACAGCTACATTAAGAGAATGAAACTGGATCACTGTCTAACCCCACACGCAAAAGTAAATTTGAAATGGATCAAAGACCTGAATGTAAGTTAAGAAACCATAAAACTCTTAGAAAAAACATAGGCAAAAGTCTCTTGGACATAAACATGAGCAACTTCTTCATGAACATACGTTCCTGGGCAAGGGAAACAAAAGCAAAAATGAACAAGCGGGACTATATCAAGCTGAAAAGCTTCTGTACAGCAAAGGACACCATCAATAGAACAAAAAGGCATCCTGCAGTATGGGAGAATATATTCATAAATGACATATCTGATAAAGGGTTGACATCCAAAATATATAGAGAGCTCATGCACCACAACAAACAAAAAGCAAATAAGCCAATTAAAAAATGGACAGAGGATCTGAACAGACACTTCTCCAAAAAAGAAATTCAGATGGCCAACAGGCACATGAAAAGATGCTCCACATCCCTAATCATCAGAGAAATGCAAATTAAAACCACAATGAGATATCATGTCGCACCAATTAGGATGGTCACCATCCAAAAGACAAAGAACAACAAATGTTGGTGAAGATGTGGAGAAAGGGGAACCCTCCTACACTGCTGGTGGGAATGTAAATTAGTTCAACCATTGTGGAAAGCAGTATGGAGGTTCCTCAAGAAACTCAGAAAGAAATACCATTTGACCGAGGAATTCCACTCCTAGGAATTTACCCTAAAAATGCAGGAGCCCGGTTTGAAAAAGATACATGCACCCTTATGTTTATCACAGCACTATTTACAATAGCCAAGAAAGGGAAGCAACCTAAGGGTCCATGAGTAGATGAATGGATAAAGAAGATGTGGTACATATACACAATGGAATATTACTCAGCCGTAAGAAGAAAACAAATCCTACCATTTATAACAACATGGATGGAGCTAGAGATACTATGTTCAGTGAAGTAAACCAGGCAGAGAAAGACAAGTTTCAAATGATTTCACTCATCTGTGGAGTATAAGAACAAAGCAAAAACTGAAGGAACAAAACAGCAGCAGACTCACAGAACCCAAGAATGGACTAACAGTTACCAAAGGGAAAGGGACTGGGGAGGATGTGTGGGAATGGAGGGATAATGGGGAAAAAAGGGCATTACGAATAGCACACATAATGTACGTGGGGGGTTGGGGAGCACAGGGAAGGCAGTACAACCCAAAGAAGACAGATAGTGATTCTATAGCATCTTACTATGCTGACTGACAGTGACTGTAATGGGGTAGGTGGTGGGGACTTGATAATGGGGGGAGTCTAGTAACCATAATGTTGCTCATGTAATTGTACATTAATGATACCAAAATAAAAAATAAAATAAAATACTCATTTGTGTCTGTCTGTACTTACTGTTACTTCAACCAACAAGGACAGAGAAAATTTAATGTACTCCACTGATAACTAACTAATGAACCTCGGGTAAGCTATCCTAGGAGTTTGGTAGGGAACAAAGAGTGACAGAGCCTCTGCTCTATCAGGAACCCTCCCAGGGATGAGAGAGTTATGTCTCCTTTTATAATGAACTTTTGGAGGCTGAGATGGTCTTCCCTAACCTCTGGGCATCTATCTATAAGCCCATTGAAAAAATGGGCAAAATATGTAAAGCAACTAGCACAGTACTTAATATACAGTAGGTGTTCCATAAATGTTTCCTGGTCAACTATAATAGTTGACATTACTGAGTACCAACTATGTGCCAGACCCTGCTGGTTGCTTTATACATAGTATTTCCCAATAGGTGCAAATAGCCCATTTCCTCGTTAAGTAAGGCTCAGCAATTCAATTTATTTGGAGAAAATGAAAATCTTAGCTATGCATGTGGTTAGCATTTGAACCTAGCTTGACTGATTTGACATCTTATGCCCTTTCCGTTTAGTCCACATTGCTTCCTTAAACTGTTATTGTTAGCTAGAAGAAAAGTGAAAAGCAACTGAGCTCTAAGTCTAAGAATTCTAAGCTAAAAATATCCTTTCATGCCTTGACAGATATTACAAACAGGAAGGGTAAACAACATAGAATAAAACAACAAACCCCAAATGCCAAGGCTTAAAAGGTACTGCTAAATATCTTAGAATAGATAAGACTGTTAACTGATTTTTCTCTCTGTTTATAAAGGGCCTCTAGGAAGAAAGTAGTCATATTCTTACCACATTCCTCCCACTTCAAAAAATGGACATTACTTCACTTCATGTTCTAGCTAATTAAATTGTCCCAATCCCAGAATGTACTGGGACAAAAAAGTAGGAACACTTTACTTTTGGAAACTGTTCAACAAGAGAGCCAGTCAGGTAGACGGCTCAGTCACTAAGGCTGTTCAGTCTAACAGCTGAATCTCAGACTCTCCATTCCAGAAGATCAGGATGGGTAGAGATTTAATGATTTCTCTACCATATGAATCATCCTATCTGTTCATTTAATGTTTTAAAGGACTATTTAGTCTTGGGGCTGGGCAAGGGGGAATATGGAGATAGAAAAAAGAAATGAAACATAACCATGAATGCTTAACCAAAGCATAGAATGGGTTGGGAAGGAAAGAAAAGATTTTAGTACCAGTAGAAATAAAGCCAGATACCTTGGACTTTTGGGAGATGATTCTAAGTCTTAGTTACTATGGTAAGGAACTTAATAACAAGTGGCTGCCTTCAGGTGCCAGTTTCCATTAACCTCTCAGTCTCTGTAGAAACAAAAAGAGTTACAAACATTTGCCATTGCCCCACTTTTTTCCTGTCGACACTGACACCAGGAGTTTAGATCACCTACCAAAACTTATTAGTAAGATTTGACCTCTAGGAGCTTTTCTTTAAAGTTGACTGTAAACTAGAATTTCAACAGTATGGTTTAAGATTATTTTAGAAATATGAATAGGCATTTTGGTAATTAAACTCTATGTTCAATTAACACAGTTGGTATTAGCTTTCATGTTAACATCCAAAAAACATTATTTTTTTGTTTTAAATGGACACAATTGTAAATAAAGACTCTTAAACAGAGCCCCTGATAAAGCCTAAACTAATCATTTTCCACAGCTTGTTTTATTTAGATTTTATGTACTTGCACAGACACACTTAAAGAACATGTATTTATATATATAAAATATAGATGATATAGGCATTTCTGACAAATGATTTGTTAGTGAAAATTTATTAACTATATAACCTTTGAATACCAGAGAAATTTCAATATGTATAAATCAGCATGAAGTTCCTAGTTCCTAAACTTTGGTTATAGGAATATATCTCAAGTACCAGAGAATAAACAAGAATCCTAATTTAAAAAGAAAAAAAATCCCAAGAAACAGAAAATCCTTCAACTCACTTCACTTGAATCTGCCTTTTTTTTTTTTACTTAGGGATTTTATTCTATATTTTCTTCCATCTTGGTCAGTTTCCAAAACTGGTATCAATAAAAACTGATCAGGGGAAAAAGGACAAACCATTACAGATAAAGATGATGTCTCAAAACAATTACTTCTGGAATTATTTTGTCTGAAATACAAAATTGTTTTAACCTAGGAGATTTACATCATGTAACACATATGGAAAAGACCCAACTTCTTAATTTTCAAAATTCAAGAACTCAAATAATGCAATCATATTAACAGCTGGGGATGAAAGGATCACAGGTTAAACCCAGTTAAAGAGATTCTTGGATTTCCACTTCTTCCCTGATAGCACTGGTATCTGGGAGCTGCAGAGGCAATTTGTGTAATAATTGGCATCAAAAGAGAGACCTGATGGGCTGAGCACAACCTTTCATGGGTTTCACAAAAATATCTGATGGGCAAATATCTGATGGGCAAAAGAAAGAAAAACTAAAGAATGAAAACTGAAATAGAAAAAAAGGAAACAAAATATATCTAAGCCTATGTACATTAGGATGGAGGGAGCTTAGATACATAAACTGACAACTGCATGTGTGTGGAAGACATTGCATCCTTGCCCACAAATGTGGATTATACATTTATATTAAGTCAGTTCATATATTACACCTGCCAATTCAAACAGGATGTTTCTGGTGAGAGATGGAAGGAAGTTCTATCCGTTTGGCTCCTCAGGCTCCAGTCCTTTGTCCTGGCTGGTTGGTGGTCTCTGCACAGGACTCAACAGCATGATAGATGAATGAATAAAGCTTGATGTCTGGTCCAGGGGTGGGACAGTTTCTGCATTCTTCATTGTAATATCGTAGCAACAGCTTATATACTTCTCCTGGAGAGCAAAAGGCCAGACCAACTTGTACACTGTGGTATATAGATGGATAAAAAGATTCTGCAAGACTTTGTCCCCCCTTCTTAAAGTCATGCTTTCATTTTTTTCTTATCCACTGTAATCCATCCAGATTTACCAAGTGTTCTTCCTGGATGGTGTATAATCCATCTAGACACTAAAGAACATTCCATTTTTATCTTAATCTAAATAATATGTACTAAATTTTGGCTTTTGAAAATACAGCATGAATTTCATATGCTTGGAAGAGTTTCTTGACATAAAGCTAAAATTTAAAAAAATACCTTAAAGAAACTACTTATTAGTTCATGATTACAACAGGCTGTACATGGTGCATCATCCATGCATCGTTTTGGGAGTTCATGGCAACTCTATTCTACATTCAACTACCTTAGTAGCCAGGCCTTTCATGTCCAACTGAAACACAGTAGGTGAGCATGATGGCATGTCTGATAAATATGACTCACAGTGAAGCCTCTTAGGTTTGAACTTTCCCTCCTACATCTTCCCTCTTTTAGTTTTCTATACCCACAAAAGTAAAAATGGACATCAACTCCAGCTTCTTGGCCTTACTTTAATAAGGTGACATACTCATTCAAGATTGCAGATCAAACTGCCAGATAAGAAGATTCTGCAAGACTTTGTCCCTCTTCTTAAAATCAGGCTTTCATTTTTTCTTATCCACTGTAATCCATCTGGATGTGTTCCTCCTGGATGGTGTATAATCCATCTAGATACAAAGTGTCAAGACTATTTCCTACTTACCAACAGTCAGTTTCCTTTCAGTAAGGAAAGTATGCATGCTGTAAATGTCTCTCATCAATTCTGAGTCCCCAAAGGTGAAATAAACCACATCTCGCTCAGCCACAGCAGCTGCCAGTATCTGTATTAAGGCTGCAACAAAGAAAAACACACAATTATATTCTGACACCATCAAGCCAACTTTAGTACTTTTAACCAGTTAAATTATAGCTGGTGTACCATAGCTTTATCCTGGATTAGATTTATAAACTTAGTATACACAATATTAGAAAAGGCAAATACAGGATGAGTATAAATCATCTATTGTGTGACTTTTCAAACATGTTGCCGAGAATATCGTTAAGTAAAGGATTCCCACATAAGCACCTTTGTGGGAAAACAAAGGGAGACGCACTTGAGGCAGCACAGTCAAGGCATCAAGGTGGTACTTTTTTCACATATTAATCTGGAACTAAAAGTTTTGTGTCTGCTTGCTTGATTTAATTATTTTGTCTTATTACACAGTCACTGCTCTTCTGCATCACAGGAGTCTGTGATTTTTCCTGAGCAATGGCACTTGGGAGGTTGCAATGTTCTCATTAACCTACAGCAAGCATTCTCAAAATGGGTCAGAGACCACACCTTCATCCTTTGTGTACTCCCACCTCCACCAAATCACTGCAGCATGGAGTGAATGTTATTGAAAACACTGAACAGTAACTCTAGTGTGCTGAAAGCCACTGTCCCCAGGAAACCAAGTTACAAATCAGTGAGCCTAAAGTATATTTCCCAAAATTTATAATCTTAATCTTAATAGACAAAATTTATTTTAAATAACAGTAACATTGAACATAGGTACCGTAAATGCCCTTTGGCTAGTTATATATGTTTTCCTTCATAAAAAGGGAGTTGGAAATTAAACTGAAACATTATGGAGGACAACTTTTGCATAGTTCTGATTTTTGAGAGCATGTTAATATCCTACATATTCAAAAAATAAAATTAAAATAACGTGAATGGGAATGGGGAGGAACCTAAGCTGAAAGCAAACTAAAACAGATGAGCCTAATTTTATTTCAAAAGAATAAATAACAACCTCGCTGAAAGGAAAGGATGAAAAAAGGAAAGAAAGAACTATTCTAAGTCAATTATGAATAAAATATTTGACTAATACTCTCAGTCTTAGGCAAGAAGGAAAGAACTGCAAACAAATCCCCAATTCTTTTTATTAGGCTTGCATACCATAGTAGTACATACAAAACAATTCTGAAACTATTTTAAATATATTTCAGGATTGAGCAAATGAGTAAATGTGTTATTATTGGGAGATGCGGTTCTCAATATAGGAGGGGACACACAAACATGGAAAAGAGGAAAATAAATAACTGGGGATGGGTTGAAATAGAAGGCACTGGTATGTACTCATGACTTCTAAAATATGTACGTGTGTGTGTGTGTGAGTGTGAGTGAGAGAGAGGGCATTTCTTAGCTTTGTCTGCTGTTAAAGGGCCAAAGACACCCCTGTAGGAATGAGCACAGCCAGTGCCCAGATACTGATCTCTACTACCATTCTCCCTAAACGGAGCCAGATTCCTCAGGCAAACTGCCTGATTCCATGAGCTGGGACAGGACTGGTACAAGATAAGCCCAGAATATTTTATTATACCAGAAAGTAAAGAAGTGCTCAAAAAATGATGGAGGAAGACTTGGTGGGGTCTTGTCACAAAGATACAGGAGCCAGTTTGAAGGAGCTCCTGCTAGCCAAATCTGGACAAGCTAAGCACCAAAATATTAAGTACAGTAATAAAGTATAAACTATTGAAAAAATACAAATCCCTGAGTCCACACTGTTAAAACACAATAAATTAAATAGAGGAAAAGAAGGAGGGTTCTTGTTCACAGGAGAAAGGCAAAGGTTAACTGGTAATTGTGGAGGGAGTGCAAGAACAGGATAACCCTCTTTTTGTAACATCATGGTAAAGACTGGATCAGGCAAAAATCATTAAAGGATGCTAAATCTAAGGGAAATTTTGTCTTAAGGTGTCTTTGCATAGACTGCTTATTAGCTACAAGGGAGGGACAAAAACCCTCAGTATCTATACAGTGGAGAAATCAGTAACACCCTGACTAGGTGATCAAAATTAACATTACCAATGGGGTCAGGTGGCCATCAAGTGCCTTCAAATACTATCACCTGTGCAGTGCACTCTGACCAAGAATGCAAAACCTCAAATTAATTATAAGGAAATAGCTCACAGAATCAAGGAACACTGTATTCTACAAACATGTCAGTGTCATAAAAGACAAAGCTGTGGAAATACTCTGGATTCAAAAGGATGCTAAAAGACATGACAATTAAATGGAACCATGTATTGGAGCAAAAAGGCTGCAAAGGGTTTTATTAGGGAACGTGAACAAACTGGAACACAGATTAAAGAGTAGATAAAAATATTCTATCAATGTATACTGATGAATTTAATAACTGTTATGTGTTTTATATTTAAAAGAGTATTTTATTCTTAGGGAACACACACTTGAGAAGGGGTATTTTATATAACTTAAGCTCAAACGACTCAGGAAAAAATTGTGTGGATGTGTTAACATGCATGTATATATATATACATGTGTATATGTATATATAGACTCAGGAATTTAACTTCTTGTAACTTTTTGTACATTTGAAACTATTTTCAAATAAAAACTTAAAAAAATTACATAGAAAGGAAAACTATTTTTAAGGTAACTAGTAAATTTGATATAGTCGAGTATCCCCAGATTTGGCAAAGAATCTAAGACACTATAATACATGTGAGATTCTAAAATACCAAAGTATTTCACAATTTCCAAACCAGTATTTATTGAGTATTCATAACATGTGAGGTACCATGAGTAGGCATCATTAATCTTAGAGTGTTGTAAGAAATTCACCTCAAAATAGAGGTAAGTTTTAATTAAAACTGCTCAACCAACTTATGCATACATTAAAGCTTCAGTACACTCAATTTTAAAAGGTTTCTAATTAACCTAAACTACATATAAAAATGGAAACTAATGAATCGTCATCTTCTTCTACCAAGAGGTATCATTTCTTACCTTTTAATTTCAATGAAAATTTGGCTTTAGGTATTCCATTAAAAAAAAAGGGGAGACACAAAGAAAAGTTCATTTAGTCCTATTTCCTCCTTATATACAGAACTGCTAGATCACTAGTCATTTGCTATTAATGAAAATGAAACATTAATAATAAACACTTCAAATTTATCTTCCTACAGAATTTATTTTAAAAATACTTCACAGGTCATTTGTCCCTGTGGACAGGCTCTTAGAGCTAAGCTTGGCCAGAGGTATTAAAAAGTGGCTGGATCCTAATAAGAGAAACCAACCCACATTACATTCTTTATTTCATATCCATTTCTAATTGGGTACACACTGTAATATAAACATGTTTCAGACAAGCTGGAACTGGAGACAGGGGCCCTGAGTTAAGTCTCACTCTTCTGCTATAGCTATCTAGCTCTAGGGCTTTGGCCAAGTCACTTAACTCTCTTGGCTGCATTTTTCCCAGCTATGCAATGAAGAAGTTGTTGACTCAGATAAAAACCCTAGAGACTCTTTCAGAGTGTAGAATTCTATAATTCCTGCTGTATTCTTTCTCCCTGTGTTGGATATTAGACTATTAATACACAAATGAAATTTTCAGAAATATAAATTAATCTTAACCCTAGATATATCAGTAAACACTAACAAAAGATCATGTTAAACAGAACCTTCTTCATACCTCACTAGTTACGACATCCCCAAGGCCTTTGCAAACCTACAGAATTATGTCTCATGATTTAAGTGAACTCTCCTGCATCACGAGTTAGATGGGAATAAATAATAAATCTAATAGATTATATGGACTGACTCCAAGTATGACATAAAAACATCAAATTCTAACTTCAAACACAACTAGGTGCCAAAATAATCACTTAAATTAACCTGCAGGGAGCTTGGTTTTAATTTTCTTTTTGGCATCAGTGTCAAGCTACGAAGAAAATTCAAATAAACATGAATAACATAAAATTTATAGTTTAATCTTCCAACAAATGAGCCAAACAAAAAATGAGTAAAATGACGGATACTCATAACACAGGTGTGGTTCGAGGCCATCAGCATGTAATATTAGTAACAACTGATAACACTGAGCTCTCATAGCACACTAAACAGTTCTAGCAGCTTCATAAACATGAACTCAAGATTTGCAAGGATTAACTCACTTAATCCTTACAGAAACTGAGTAAGATTTTGAAAATAAGGAATACAGGCACCAAAAGGTTAAGTAATTTGTCTCAAGTCACAGAGCCAGAAAGAAGTGGAGTTGAGAATCTAACCCTGGCAATGTGACTCAAGAACTTATCCCTCCACTCACAATGCTGTCAAACTGCCATGCCAACTTATTCTGCTCTACTCCAAGCAAACTTACCATATGCCAGTCAGAAGAATTTCCTCAAATTGTTTATTTACATTATGTCAATATATGCTGGCAAGTGGGCTAAAATAGTATCGATCTGAAAGTACCACTGATGTTCTTCTAATGAAACCCATGGTGTTTTGTGAGTTCTCATGCCCCATACCCTAAAAGCTCAAGGTACCAGCCCCAAAGGTTTTTGGCTCACTCGTCTAGGCCAACTCACTCTTAACTGGTCTTGTCTTCTGGCTACTGTTTTAAATCTTGACAACACTCACCTCCCCACCACCTCACAATGGATACTACTTAAAGGCTCAATCTTTGGTTCTTTCACCTGCTTTAAGATGCACCTTCTCTTCAAGAATTCAACCACCATCTCTAGAATGGCAACTCCCAAATCCAGATCCAGACACAGAGTTTGTGGCCAACAAAAATTAAAGAGCAAGAACACAGATACTGGGCCCCTGGACTTCGATTCTGGTTTGAATTCTAGCACTGCCACTTGCTATTTTTAAGACCTCAGGCTAGTTACTAGTTTTTGAGGACACAGGCCAAGTCTGAATATTGGCTCTAACACTTACTAGCTGTCTCTCTTAGAGCAGGTTTATTAGGCTCTCTACAAAACTTGGTTTCCTTATATTAAAAATGAGGATACAAATGGGAGAGTTACTATGCAAATGGAAGGAGAGAATGCAGTACTTCT